AGCGACGATGAGAATGAGGAGCCTGGGGCCCCCGAGGTCTTGCCCAGTGCTGTGGCCGACGACGGCAAGGACAGCAGTGCTGCTGTGGCTCCTGCAGAACCTGAAACTAAACCATCCGAAGCGGCCGAGGCTGCTGGCGATGGCCATGGGCAAGAAGATGACGAATCCTTTGATGTCGCCGACTACGAGGCACTTACTGTGTAGATTATATAGGGATTGGTCGTGTGCTTAGTCGTAAGAACTTAAACCTTAAGCCTTTAGACCTACACAAAACCCCAATCGTGATATTGCTGCACAATGTGTGGCAGGGCAAGCCAGACCGACTTGCTCAAGCTGCTGCTGTCGCGAAGCCTGCCAAGGGACCTGGCAGCCGAGGTGGCCGCGGGCGAGGCAGAGGCGGTCGTGGTGGCCGTGGACGAGCAAGCATTGCCTCGGATGGCGATGCTCCAGAAACCCCTGTGGCGAAAGTTAGTGCAGCTGGGGCTAGGGGGTCCACGAAAAGGAAGCCCGATGATACCGAACTCGAAACCCCGGATAAGGAAGAGGCCCCCAAGAAGAAGGCCGGCCAGTCCGCTGTGGAGAAGCCCAAAGCTACTCCCAAGCCGAAAACCAAAGCGAATCCTAAAGCTAAGGGATCCAAGACAGCACGCAAGGAGCCGGAGCCAAAGGCATCGGAGAATGACAAGGAGGAGGAGGCACAGGAGGATGAGAAGCCCAAAGCTAGTCGGAAGCCCAAAGCCAAAGCGAGTCCCAAGGCTAAGGGATCCAAGACAGCACGCGAGGAGCCAGAGCCAAAGGCATCGGGTAAGGGTGATGATAAGAAGGAGGGGGCACAGCAGGATGAGGGCACCAAGAAACGCAGACGACTCGACGCAGATGATAAGTCTTTCGCGGGAAGACCCAAGCCAAAGACAGATGATGCACTCAACCGGTTTATGGCCATTCGGGATATCTACAACAGCAAGATCCAGTTGCATTTCGGAGCCAGTCAGCAGGAGCTCGAAACCTCGGTTTTTCAATAATCATATATGAGCCTGAAACCCTAGTAGGAGGGAAAAACTCTTAACAAAATATATAGAGGCATCCCTATAATTCTGATAATATCATTCGAAAAAACGAATCTACTATACAAAGAAGAACATGTGCTTTGTTCCAATAGGCCCGGCCCGAACCCAAATCGATCCGAATCCGAACTCTAACTAAATCCTATAGGGCCCTAAACCCCTAAACCCCTAAGCCCCTAAACCCCTAAACCCCTAAACCCTGAACCCTAAACCCTAAACCCCTTAACCCCTAAACCCCTAACCCCTAACCCTACACCCTAAACCCCTAAACCCTAACCGACCCTGCCCTAAACCCAATCCACACCAAAGCCTATATAAGCCCTGGAGGACGCTTTCTGGTCCCTTGCCAAGCCCCGGATGAAGAACAAGAGCAGCATCGCCGACTACAAGAAGATCGCCGCCAAGGCTGCCCAGGAGTTCCTCTTGGCAAACCCTGTGTGACGGGGTATAGGCATGCAAGGTCATGCAGGAGTTAATTGATTCGCTTGGATGCTTTGCTTGTGATACGCATACGCAGCCACATCCTGCATCATCATAGATGGTCGGGAGCCGTGTGCGAGTGCAGTGGCATTTAATTGCTCACTATAGTTGCTTTTGAAGATCGAAGTCTCCATGCGACCCGGGGTTAAGGGAGTCGCTGCTGCATCCGAAGCAAGCAAAAATCTGCATCGATGCACTCGTGCACTATTGAACTGGCCGAATCACCTGAGCACCTGCCGACTTCACTAGATATCTGTTTCAGCTGCTGCCTAGGCTCGAAGATGCGACGAGGACAAGCACTTCTGGCTCGCCGAGCTTGCCTGCCGGTAGAAGAAGAAGGCACATGCTGCATGACCTATCACGACTGTGATCTGCTGCCCGGACACGAGCATCTCACATGCAGTGCCATGTCAATTCTCTCATGTCGCATAGATGCTGGTTGCTCTCAGCCCCATGTACATATGCACACAGCATGCATGGACGCTCACAGCTCCACAAGTGATCTTCGACGTGTAGCCGAGCATAGAATCATATGGGGATCGATGGGTAGCTTGTACTTAAGAAGGATTTCCGGTGCCTCTCTACACTACGATGGTGGGGCCATGCCTTCAGGATCCCAAAGCTTCTTGGACACTTCACGCCTGCAGCAGGAAGTTCGAAGTGGGAACAGCTTGCATGCATGGATACTGCACATCATACGAACCTGGCTTAGCTAAGGCATTCATCGCTATATTTATCCTGCTCATCTATTGGATGGACCCAAATCTCCGAGATGCCCCTCTATGTGATGCCAGAGGACAAACACTTCCGGACAAGGAGTCTGCGAAAATTCTGGAGCCGCTTGCATACCTGCCCCTTAATTCCCTTAAACCCTAACCCGTAAACCCTAGTGTTCGAGAGACCTTAACCAAGAAACCTGAAAGCATCTACGTGCACAGGGTTCTGCAGATGAAATTACAAATGGGATGCCTCGAGAAGTTTTATATTGAAGCCGGAATTTGAGATCTAATGATTTCGGTTTGGGTTCGTTGCACGACCTTTCTGGGCTCCGCTTTCTTCGACTGAGGGACTGCAATGCTGTGCAGGAAGGATTCCATATTGGCTTTTCCGATGTGCTGGGGGCATCACTTCTCCGTGGAGAATGGCTGCTGAAGTCCCTAAGCAAGGTCAAACTAGACTAGAGATCCCTGGGACCACATACCCTAAACCCCAAACCTCAACTGAGCAAGTACCCCTTAGCATCCCATCAAAACCCTTAGAAACAAAAGCCCGAAACCTTTGAGGCCCAAACCTGAAACCTTTGAGGCCCAAACCTGAAACCTAAACCCGATACCATGAACCCTAAGCCTGCTAATATATAATAAATATAACATATATATATATAATATATTGTATATAATATAATATATATATATAATATAATTTATATACACATAAATACATATAGTATATTCCAATTCTAGAGATCGATCTTATAATCCCCAAACCAAGACCCCGAAACCTAAATCCCAAGCCTTAATTCTTAAACTATAGGACACCTATTCTAGAGCCATCTGAGGTGCTCCCCTCAACTCCACAGACCATGCTCGCTTCCAGTGGCACCGTCCCAGGAGTTGCTGGGCATGCTAGGGGTGTTGGGTTCCTCGAGGATGACAGCTATAGGGGTTGAAGCTTCCGTCTTTAAGTTCTTTAGTCAAGGTTTCTTGGTATACAGGCAATTTATACTATATGGCAGGGGTTCTGGACTCGGGGCTTTTGTGAATTGGTATTTCGTGTTGCGGCTTTGAGTGTCCACACAGGTCCATCACCATCACCATATGGCCATAGCTAATATCATCTTCATCTTTCATCCGAAAACATCATCATCGCAGCCCACGATTCACAGCAGATTCCTTTAGGGTTTAGGGGTTTAGGGGTTTGTCCTGGCTGCATTTGCTGAATCCATTATCAATGTGCACCCCTATCGGAATCCTTGGACCCTTATCTCCCCTTGGATCCTATCCAATCTAAACCCCCAAACCCCAGGCCTTATCCCCGCCGGGTTTCTCCCTATGATTCTAGAAGCCAATCTTCGACGGTTACAATCAATCGTAGTAGTGATCCTTACTAAAGATTTGTTAATGCGAACGAACCATGAAATTTGGATACATGATAGCGAGCACAAGAGTTCAACCCCAAGGGTCGCGAGCATAAACTAATAAACCCTAAACCCCTAAACCCTAAACCCCTAAACCCCTAAACCCTAAACCCTAAACGCCAAGGATCCATCCTCCCAGGATCATCATCGACATGAACGAGGCCAGCAGTGATACCACGCCTTGTCGCTAGGGTGGTTATCTAGCTTGCCTCCCGTTCAAGTACTTTTTGGAGGGATATACTCTTATGCTATACTGTATTATACCTTGAATTATAATATTCCCTATACCATAAAACTACTATACTGCTATGTTGTTGCTATACTATATCACCACCCACCGCCACCACCACCCCTGCCCGCACTACACGCACGACCACGACCACGACCACGACCACGACCACGACCACGACCGCTACTGTACATACACTATATATTATATACACTGTATGTAGTGTATACACTGTATAGTGTATATACTGTATATACTGCATAAACT